GTGTGGAGGATTAGGACAATAGGGAATCAGTCAGGCTTGGGTACAATGGAAGCAAGAGGAGGGAGGGAGTCAGGGACAGGAGCTCCTGGGGACAGGTATTAGGGTGGACAGAGGTTGTGGGAAACTGGGAATGAGGAAAAGGGGTGGCGGGCCCAGCATTGGTTCTGTAGGAGGGGGAGGATTAGGTAGGAGATCTGGATTACTGGGGACTGGGGAACATTAGGGATAGTGGGAAGGAGGAGGGATGGGGTTGAGGAATGGTTGTTCTAGGGAGCAGGGAGGGTCTTGTGCGAGTGGGAAGGGAAGGTTTCAGGGAGGCAGAGATATGGGGCATTCCACTGAGACTGCTTTAGTCAAAGTTTCTAGTGACGTCTCTTGAGCCAAAGCCCAATACTTCCATCTTTGTCCTCCTTGACCTGTCAGCTCTCGTTGATACCTCTCACCATGCTCCTCTTCTTGAAATATTGTCCTCTCCTCTGTGATGCTGCCCAGGGCTACCCAGATCGGTGAGGGTCCTCACTACCACCTGCCCTTAGTGTGAGGGAGCCTTGTCTGTGCCTGACATGCATCAGCTGCCTGACTCCACCAGCCAGAAGCAGCACAAGTCCCCACCATCTTACCCTACTCAGGCACTGCTTTCTCTCAGTAGGTTAGTGATAGACACACTCCAAACACACTGAGCCCCCTCCACCCCCCCAGTGTCTCCTTGGAGTGTCCAGCCACCGTTCCACTGGACACTCATAGTATTCACAGATTCGCTGCCCTCAAAGAAGAATTTCATCTCAGCTTACCAGTTCCACCTTAGATCACTGCTCCGCTTAACACACACCACTCAGATGTGTTTATAGGGAACATAAGTAAAAAAGCTTATTTAAAAATGTATAGATTCAAGTAATAGCAAGCAGAAGTATGGGAAACAAATAGTTACACATCAAGTAAAATCAAAACAGTCATTCTAAAACCTAGATTTACATAACTGAATCCTTGTATTTGTCATAGACCAATGCTCCTGTGAAGTCCTTCCAGGGTCAGTTGTGATCTTCCATTCATGGGACAA